CATAAAATTACACACCGACAGGCTGAATTAGTACCGCTGTCAAAGTCCTGGAAAGAGTGATCAAGAAGACGGATAAGGTCAGGCTAGAACGGGACGCTAATGTCTCCTTTGCAAAAGGCCTTCGCCGAAGCTTCTTCTGACCGACGAATCCTTATCTAAACACGGCAAGTGTGGTTATCCTGAGGGTAATAGGATGCCTGTAGATGCCATTTCTACTGACTTCAGCAGGGCTTCCGAGTGATAGCCAAATGTAGATTTTTCATTCAAATGGAAGTTTTCGGAATCGCTGAGAGTCTGCTTGAACGGGTGAGCAAATTCTATGTTAGTTGGAGATGAAGAGTAAGAATCAGTTCTCAACTCGCTGCTTAAAAATCACCACAGAGTGGGGTGCCGTAAGGCGTTGTCCTGCGTCCCAATCTATTTCTCCTGTGTATAAACGGACTACTGAATATCATGACCCCCCCATCCGCCAAACTGACAACGGAGGAACCTGTGAGAAATTTGATGTGAGGGATATATGCGTGCACCTCGGACTGACTCTGAAAGTTTTTGTCCTGGCCATGGAAGCAGCTGGTGCCTATCAACCCAGGCAAGCGCGCGAGGATGCACGCGGGATGGAAGGATGGCAACACCTACAATGTTGGTGAAACTCCTGAGTACTGATCCACAGTGACATGGGAAACAGTGAGCAAAGATTTGAAGAGGGCAGCACGCCACCGACTGGTCACCGTATGTATTTTTAGGGCACTTTTCGCACTACGTAGAATGTGTAGGAAATTAACAATGACATCTGTACTATCTTCCTCACATCCTTTGCGCAGCCTAAAAAAGAAAACTGTGCTCAGACGACAAATCCCTGCTTGAAAGCTGATGAAAACCTCCTGGGAGGAGACTAGAGACGTGCCATCCAAACTACCTCTGAGATAGCAAGCCTGGCCTGCGAAGGACAACCCAAGGAGCTAAACACCCTTCCTTTATTCTATTGCAGAGAGAGAGGAGGGAGGCTGATCATGCTGTGTAAGATTTCAAGGAATAACGGAACCTGATCTAGCTTCCCCCCTAATCCAAGCAAGGGAGTACAATGGCGAGAAGGGAACGTGTTCTCCTCAGAGTGCTGGGTGTGGCTCTAAGCTATGGGCTGTGGAACCGACTCCCAGAAGAAGTGAGACCGGCGTTAATAATGGAATTGTACAAGGCGAGACTAGGCAACGACCTAGATCTAGTGTAAAAGGATTCATAGTGGCTCATAGCCATCTGTCCTAAAACTACAAATCCGGATTTTAGATTTGATAAACGCTGCTTGCAAGATACTATTTTGGGTACAAAATATATTATGCTTATTGTGATATGCGACGTAAGTGTAGTTTCAGGATTTAACCAGGACCACTTGCACCGTCTTTCTCGCCAAGCTGTCACAGGCCTAGTTGAAGCATATATGAAATAGTCAGTGTGTCGTGGACTATGTCCTTACGGACACCTCTCGAACTTTGGCAGGAACAGGGCGAAAAACGGTTCGCCAAATACAGTGTCACATATGCGACAAAGTAGTTATATATTATTGTCGTCACAGTTCCGAGCAAGTTTTGGTATTCTGCACTATTTCAAAAGTTTCAGTGATATGTTCTGCTTCACTTGCTGTCAGCCCTGATCAAAAATATCCAAGTTATCGCAGCGTCTGGGATAATTTCGGTTTCAATACTTATCCAGTTACGCATGTGTTGTGACAATTTTCAGGCTATACTGAAGACATTCCACAGGCAATCGCCGCTGGAAATGCCCCTACCACTTTTTGGAACAGAGATTTTAGGTTTGCGAGTGAATTGTTTGCAATGAGACATTCAACATTCATCGTCTCGCGTGAGGTAATTTCCTTCCGAAAATTACCAGAGTTCAGACCTGCCGCTTTATTTGTTTCATACCACCAATGTGAGCTGAAGCCATGCTTTGAAGATTAGTTTATGACAGGTCATACTCAGCCGGTTGTCCCCGTAATTTTTATACTGATGGGAAGACACACAACTTACTTCCTAAGTCTGCACGCGCTCGGTTTAGAAAGTGTTTTAGCCGATGACGTTCGCTCTGAGCTTCCCTCTATTTTTTGTCGAAACCTTATGACCCGCAATCTGTCTTTCCAATTTATACTTTCCTGACATTCCGCGAACTGTTCTGGGAAGGTTTTGTCACTGCGTGTCAGCATGGTCAGATACACTCTCTTCTTCATCTCGCTCTGCCTGAGCTAACTGAAGATATGCTCCAACGATCAGACTATCCTATGGAATGCTTTGGTACATGCTTCCATCCTCATTACCTAGACGCCGTCGTGTCTTGTATGTTTATGCGTTTTGCAGCTAATCAGGGTTTGATTTGTTATCTTCTGCCCCCTAAAACGTTTGGCCTATCAAGACTACCGCCTTGACAACATGCATTGCGAACGTAATTTGTCAATAGGACCAGTCGCTTTCATAATTTGCCGGTAAATCACTTCAAAACTTCTGCTTACTTTAGGACTATCTATGGGCGGGAACGGTGAAGAAGATAGTAGGATTGGCTGGGAAGTTTTCACATTCGTCCTCCAATATATTTTGCTCACCATGCTCTGAACAAAAATCACAGGTCGGAAAACAATCGATGCTGCTTTCAACATATCACTGGAATCAAAACCGAAAGTTTTCACCGCTTTGTTACCAACCAAAGAAACATTCTAAAAGTATGCAGGCGTACATGATGCGTTTAGAGGACATAGGTGAATAACTAAAGTACACTGAAAGGAAATAACCTGGCGCATATGTTCAGAGATGAACCATGGTACTCCAGAGTCCGAGCAGGTCGCTAGGGGAGCCTTAATGAATAGATTTTGCTGCACATTTTTTGCGAGAGGGAAGTAATAAATTGTCCCCATTGTCTCTGAGATAATTTTGGTCTCCACTGTTGGCTGTCGCCAGCAGTTTTTTCTCCCTCATATCATACTTTGCGCCTAGGTTAAAGCTGTGCTTCAGCACTCATTCTGGCGAGTGAAAATCATTTGATACGGAAAGGTGTGGACCGGGCGGTCAACATTCCCCATAAACCTCACACCCCATGTGTAACATCTCCTACGGTAAATTACTTGAGGTTTCATGAGTAGAAGAAAGATGTTAGTCATTCCAGTAGTTTACCCACGTATGGAACGGTTGCGACTAAGTCCTAATAAGAGTGGGCCGCAGAAACTGGGATATCCTTGTGAATTATCATACGATTACTTCTAGGTGGGGTTAAGCAATTTCAGGAGTCGAAATTAACGCCTTCACGCAGGTTTGGAAACACCGAGTTTAGACTAGATAAATTCAGCTGCGAAAGTTCTGACGGCTAAAATCCAAGTACTTCGGTATGAACAAGGTTCTGACAAGTCACTGCATTCTTCCGCATTGTTTTCCGAATTTCCTTGATTTACGGACAGTTAAAACATGTTCGTCGGCAGTAGCAAAACCTATTTGACTTGAAAAATCTGTAATGAATTTGTGTAACTCAACAATGCCACTGAGCAACTATCCAGCCTGAGCATTTCCCTGGCACAGAATACGTACTGAGAGTCAACAAGAATTCTCTCAACGAAGTAGGATCAAAACTCTGTCCGCAAGAATCAAACAAAGCAGTAAAAGTTTTGGGTAAGGAGGCAAGAGGCGATCAATCAATCCACAGCACAACCGCGAGTTAGGTGAAACAACATGTCGGGAACAGCAGTCCGCTACCGCGCAACAGCGAAGAGGAGCATAAAGGGATAACTTTCAACCAAAACAAAGACAACTAAGTCAAAGAAGACAGGCACGGGATATAATAATGTTACACCAGTCGGTAGTAATCAGTAATATCAACAAAGACGGTGAAAATATCCAAAAACTGTCACTACCGCAGAATGGAGTGCTCAGGAGGGATTTTCACGTGGTTTATTTAGCCTCAGATGTTACGGATTTTTTTTAAGTCTTGCTGTTCGCTCTTCTGGATGTGTCAGACTTTTTTCACTTGTAAAAACAGCAAACATGACTACGTCTGTTTCATCAGCTAGCCAGGTGCCAGGTGGATGCTTGACCGTGTGGCTCCAACTTAGGAAGTCCGGTAAAACCATGAATGTCAGAACCTCTTCGAATATATGACCATTGATTCTAGAGAAGTGTGTGGCGCTACACTGAGTTCTTTCATGTTAAACTCATAGCATGAGAATAAAACGATTGAGATAAACCAAGAATCCTCGGCGTTTCTCCAGTCCAAAGACAGTAGAGCACTAATCAAGTAATAGCGGCCTGGGTTGGACCAATGTTTACAGTGTTGAGTACATGCACCTGATTCTAAGTCTGGATATAAGAATCCGTATGTCTTCACGTTTTTCTAGCTATCCAAGTATTCCTGATCCACAGTTTCACGAAAGGCGAAAGACAAAAAGCGCAGGTGAAGATAACAAAGGTTTGAATGGCAAATCAATGTGACATGCAAGTCTTATCGAGAAAAAAATCATTTAAATACAGTAAAAACAACCAAATGCACACTGCAGTGTCAGTGTCAAATAGATTCATGAATGGCATGCGATGCGGAAAGTAAGTTTTCACTTAAACATAATTTGACTTCATCATGTTCTCCGCTGTTAATCACGTAAATGATATCAATACAAGTCTGTCGAACCACATTATCAACCCAGTGTCGCGTTTTGTTAAAAGCCCTAGTTGAGCTAGTCAACATGTCCAAACGTAATTGTTTGTAACTAGCGATAATAAGACTGCATGGTCTTGGTCTCGGAAGCACTATATCTGAAATAAGTCGAAACTAATCCCTCTCTGTCTCACACCTAGGTTCGACCTTTTAGTTGGCTCGGCATAAATAAATTTGTTCGGTTTTATTTTACTTATGTAATTTTTGGTGAAGATGTAGAACTTCTAGACAAACGTATGCCAGGGGATAGAAGAAAACGAAGTTACAATTTTGTGTTGTTGTTATTAGTAAATAAAAAACGATTGGCATGGTGAAAGGGAACCCGCCTTTTACAAATAATACAAGTAAGCAATTGGGGTGAGACTGGGAGTTATCCCCAGTTATCACAACATTCTGTCTGAAAATAAGTATTATATGTGTTCTGTATGCATGCATCCTCTGACAGAAGGCATTGTAAAAACTATGCAAACAAGTAGGATATTCTCACAGAACGCAGAAAATGTTAGTGTTTTTACATACAACCTGTGGCAAGTATGATTATATCTGGGTATAACTTTTAGTCGCACTCAGCAATTTAGCTTACCAGCCGTTTAACGACTAGATACTAACTGAAGTATTTCTCTTAGCACTCATACCCATTAATGGGTATTTGGTTAATAATTACCAACCAAATAACTGGCCAGTCAACATGTTGATTTATCAGTACTTATAAGTATCTTCAATCAAGAAGAAAGTGGTTTTAAATAGCTTAATCATATCCAGTTTTCCAAGCAGTTTAAGTTGCTTACAAATCGACCGCTCTATTCGTGCATTGAGCTTTCTCTTCATTTCCAAATTATTCTATTTGCCCTCTATTTTGTCCATATGGGTAGTGTGATGGCATTATTGACAGCTTGTCTGAAAAACGAGACAAACACTTTCGCAGCAACTTCTACTGCGTGTTTTCTCCTCCTGATGGGGTAGATGGGTTTTCTGTTGTCCCTAATTTTTGTCTTTCATTTCTCAATGCCTCAGGAAACTATCAAGGTATAAAGTTTATTCCGGAATTTTTTGATGTGCCGCAAACGTATATTGTATGGTCAATAATGGAAATCATACACTGTTTTATTTTATATTGCCTTTCTCTGGTGGCTTAATAGTTCGATGTTTTATCGTCTTCCAGATGGGAGGATGACAGAAGTTCTTCGTCTTACCTTTCAAACCAGCACTAGTGCTAAATTACTTATGAGAACGTGGGGTTCGAAGTCATCGACTGTATAAATAGCATGCTCTTCTCCACCTTTAGGCCTTCCCATATGTGTTTATAGTCGGAGTTGAAGCCAAAAACCATAAATCTCAAACTTTTTAAAAGTTCATGTGTCACTGACGCAAGCTCATGTCCTGCAGTCACGCACTAGAGCTTTTTAATTGACCTCAATAAGAAATAGCCTTCCACTGTATGATCAGCTAGTAAATGCTAATCGCCCTTACAACTCTGGTAACACTCAGGTTTCTGTCAGATTTGTCAACCTTTCTTGTCCTTACCTTCCAATCTTCCTTCACGTCTCTCGGTCAATAAACCAACATCAATTTTAATTCGTCCCAGCTCTGTAGGTCTCAGTAGCGATTTGAGTACACGAAACAACATCACTGGTGCGCTAAAACCGCGTTCTAAGCTGCACATTGGAACTTTCGATTTCCGTATCCTCCTTCAAATCAGTTAACAGGCTTCACCAGTCAAAACTTTTGCAGCTCGGGCCATAGATGTGTGCATTTTTATGAGGCATGCACACAGAGGTCAAATACGGTTGTTCATCTAACCTAACCCGGTCAGTATGGTAAGTCTGGAAAAGTCACTCTTCAGGTTCCTGGAATTTCGATTGCTAGTTCCTGTTGTCTTGCAGATGTAGGTACAAAATTGAGTTCTATGGCAGATAGTGAACTGATCGATTGGATCCCAGTTAGCAGTCATTTACCTCTGTTTGACTGAACAATACAATATGGACTAAAAAGAATAGCGAAACTCACCGTTGTCGCTTTATAATTTCTACTTACGCTCCAAATGACTGCATGTCAGAAGAAGTGAAAGATGAATCTTACCGAAAACTGTTTAGTCTTTTACTGAAAGCGAAACGTTCAGACGTCGTTGCTGCTACAGGTGATTCTAACGCATAAGTTAATGGGCTGCCTCAAGCAGAAAGGTACTTATGTGACACTTTCACAGTCTAAGCCCAACGAATAGATAAAGCCGGTCGCTAACTACGACTGTGCTCAGATAACCACATATTTCTGGCCAGCACAAACTTCAGACATAAAGAGAGACATTTCCTGATTTGGCTTCCACCGAATTTATCCCAGTAGTGGACACAGACAGTTGTCGCTGGAGAAGGCCAGTAAAAGAGTGCTGGTCCTTCTGGAGCACGTGTTTGGACACTAAGCATGCTTCGGTTCGAGCACAGGTATGCCTGCGTCTAAATAGAAGTAAAAACCGTATCAATAGGACTATTAAGATTGAAACTCAACGATGCAAATGTCAGGGCTGCTTTCAGTGAGAAACTGGTTGGATAGTTATCACAACAGAAGAATTTTTCTCAGATTGACAAACAGAGTCAACGAAAAACCTCGGAGAAAAGTCTATCGGTTCAAGTTGCCACAATTCACAGTAGTATACAAAGAACAAGTAGAGATAAAAAGAGTGATATCAAAGCAGACAAAGCTGTATGGGAGGAATATTAGTCTAGAAATGATGCTTAGTCAAAACGTTCAAGCCTTAGAAGACGTCAAAGAGTGAACCCATATGCCACGGTGTGACAGATTTTCAGCTAACATGCCAAAAATCCTCAGTCAATGATTTCTGTCGTCTTGAAGGCCCTCCCTTAACGGCTCGTGCCAATAGTCAGAGACTTCATGCACCGGTCAAACGACTTTGTCTGGCCGACATAACTCAACTTCTCCTAGCGTTCCACACGGAGGTAGTCAGTGGCTTGCCATGCACAACACGAACCCGAGGCAACTCAGTTGCTGAATGTTAAAGACGTCATCAACCGGTTTCTCTCTTCTAACTGGAACCTTTTGACTGACATATAAAATGCTCACATAGTAATTCTAGCATACATGAGCAGTGTAATGAAGATACTTATGGGCGGAAACTTGTAGTTTCTGCCTATCTGCTACTTTTAACGGCTGGGTATCACATACGTACGAAACGACAGAATAAACGGCAGCAAAGTGTACTCGCACTTGACTAGATAGATAGCTGCATATGTCACCAGTTGGTGTTATAGATCACGCAAGTTGTCCAATGCCAAACGTGTCTTTTGTATCCTAGCTGAGATTTCGTAAACAGCCAACCAGTTCGGGCTAATACAACTCCCAAAGTAAGTGAAGTGGTCAACACATCCCATCACTTCACTTCCTATAATTAAATTGGGATTACTTGCAGCAGATCAGTCTACGAGCATCATCTTACATTTCGCAGGAGCAAAACGCATGCCAAAAGTACTCAGTGTTTTACTCAACGTGTTCAGGAGACCCTGCATTCTGTCAGCATCTTCACTTAGCAGGACAGTACCATTTGCGTACTCCAAGTCAACCAGATAACTTCCGGGTAGTTGATCAATCTCTGTGAGTTCAGACGTACCTAAGGTATTGTACACAATTCCATCTGTGAAGAAATTAAATAGGAACGGTTACAGTGAAAGTTCTTGACAGACACCGCTAGTTGGGGCAAATCATGTAGAAACTCTCCTTAAGCCCTAACACGGATGCGTGAGTTCGAATAGAGAGCTAGGGTTAGTGTTATTTACTTGCTCACTAACCCTTTCACAGTCAGATACTGCCACAGAACCTCATATACAACAGAATTAAATGCGACAACCATGTTACGAAATGTGCTAAGCGTTGGCTGCCATTAAGTGTGTCTGTGTTCTGGAACTTGGCAGGAGGTGAAAATATGATCTATGCACTATCAACCAGGTTTGAACCTTGGTTAGTTTTCTCAAGTTTGCTGTTCTCATAATCCTGTTAGGCATCGGATGAGAATAGATCACACGATCTTCGGCACGATATTATTCAAACTGATTCCTCTGTTTGTCAAAAGGATACTTCCATCCCTTCTTGAGTTTGGAATGATAATTGAGGCAGACTAGTCGAATGCCTTACAGGACATAGTTCTCCCATGATCAAAAAGTGAGACAGTAAACTGTCAGGTTTTGCTGCTTAGCATGCCTTCAGGTTTGACACAGCTTTCTCAAATTCAAGGAGATTCGAAAACTCAGCATTTATGTACATTTCAGGTTCACACTGAACGCTGGGAAACTGAAAAGTTCCTGGAGGCCAATTTCACTGGGCGTCAAAATGCTTCGCCCAACGTTCTAGCCGCCTGTCTCTGGATGTTATCAGCATCACATCCTTTTCAGTGATGGTTTCAGTAACCACTGTCTCCATCTTGCCAGTATCAGTATCTATAATAAGCATAAACAGTTGCCGAGTGTTACCCAACGCTGATGTCTCCTCCATCTCTATCGCTCTCGCCACCCACCACTGTTCGTGATCATCGCGAAGACTCTTGGTCAACTCACGTCTGAATTGCTTTCGCTCCTTATCGTGGTCAGAACCAGCTGGAATCAGTCTTCTCACATCAATCAGCTCGGACGATGTCGTGGGAATCCAGTGACGTTTGTTAACCTTCGGGTGTAAGCTACCAACTGTCCTCACCACTGATTCTACAGCAGACTGAATATCAGTCCAGGTTTCCTCAGAATGAGCATTGCTGTCATGTTCAGATAAATGCTTAGCTATCTCTTCCCTGAATGCGCACTTGGTGTCCGCATCTTCCAGTCGATCATCGAAAGGCGTTATAATCTCCTATTTCCTGCAACCAGTAAAACACAGACATACATGAGCCTGTACTAGAGCGTGATCGGAGTTGAAACTGGTACTCCATGAGGGGTGGTAATCCTCGACTGATCCTCTACAACGATGGCTCATAACAATATGATCTACCCGTATCCATCTTTGGTTTGGTGTTGGTGGACGCCATGTGGGACAGTATCTCTCCTTGTGCTTGAAGTTAGTGCTGGCCAGACACAAGTGGTTGTCAGAGCGACATTGTGTCAGACAACGAACTTCTGTCAATTCGTTGGCATGGGATTTCGTAGATCCCTTCAAGATGCCTTTCCGATTGGCTCAGCTTCCCTACCTGAGATATGAAGACACCTGTCGTTATGATTACATCTGAACGTTTTGCTTTGTGTAGCAAAGTTGACAGCTTCTCGTAGAATTTGTCCTTCGGATCATCCGAGCCACAGTCGGTGGGTGTGTAGGTGGAGATTATGAATAGGCATCGGTCGGTCTCACGATCGTT